AAAAAAAAGGAAAACTGCAGTTTTGTGATGCTTTATAGTATATTGGAAGATCTTTACGTCATTTATTCGATTTTAATTAATCTCACTTTATTCAGCAGCTAATTTTTTTAATTCTGAAACATCTTTAAAAAACAAGAAACAAAGTTTAAAAAAAGGGGAATAATGTATTTAAAAAATAAATTCCATTCTCAAAATGAATAAAAACAAGAAAATTATTACTACTAAATAAATAAAATGTATATAGAATGAACGAATTATCAGCAAATATAATTTTCATAATAAATTACAAGCTTATAACTAAAAAGAAAGCTATCGGTTTTTAAAGCGTTCCCCATATCAGTTCTTCAGAAGGACAGAGAGAGAAAAAGATTTTCAAAAGGGAGCAAGACCTCCCACCGAGAAGATTAGTGAACTTGGGGGTGGAAGTTGCCTTCCTCCCTTACTCAAAGGTAGAAAGTGACTTGTGTTTCAAAGGCAATATTACAAAAAGTAATAAAGATTAAAAAAATTAACCTACATTTTCGTGGATAGGAAAGATTGAAAAAATTATTAGTATTTTTTTTTAATTGATCACTCCGATTCTTGAACAAGAAAAATCGATTCAAAGTATGACAAGCCCGCCATAGACTTTACATGTTAAAAGCAGAATTGAGGAGTCTGCTTGGTGCAACACTTTTCTCCCGGCAACCACGATTGTGGACCCGACTTTCTGATCATTTGAGCGCGCCCCTTGTTTTTTGTTCGCCAAGGAACGAACTATTCAGATGGGAGAACCGATTGCATTCAAAGAGCGCCCTCTAGGATCCTAAGATCTATCCAATACTCGACATGCTAAGCGGGTAAAAATGGTCAACAGTAAATGTGGTAGGTAAACAAATTCCAGCTCGAAAATTCATTTCAAGTCAATTCTAGGTATTTGGGTAAAATTGTTAAGAATGTAAATACTTCTAGTTTATTAAATATAATATTCGTATTTAAAAACTAATTCTTAACTCATTGACTGTATTTAAAAACTAATTTTTGTTTTTCTTGAACGAAAAACAAAGGCGATTCGTCTTTATAGTACTGAAAATTAACCTTGTTTGAATAAAAATGATGGGAAGACTATTTTTATTAAGTTCGTGTACCTCAAAAGTGTCGTGTTGGGATGCAGAATAACTGCACATCTTGATTTCTACAAAAATTTTCATGAGGCACTACAAATAGTTTACGTCTGACACCAAAAGGCATAATTATTTATATTGAGTAAATAAAATTAGAGCTGGAAAAATTAATTTTCTGTTTAAAGCAAATTTCTATATCTCATTGGTATAATCTATGTAATTATTGATTATTTCTTTCGTAAATGAATTATTAATCCTTATTATGTCCTACACTATTTACATCTGACACAATTGTATCCTTTATATTTCAATTTATTTTCCCCTATTTTCTTGTCTTATTACTTATAAGATGAAGTGAAATTTGCATGAAAGAACTGAATAAACCTATAAATTAATTTAAAATAGTATATTTCCCTTCAGTAAGCTAATTTCATGTTCTGTTTTACTATGCTTTGCTTTATTACTTTCTTATTATGCACTTACTAGCAATTTTCTTAATAAAATATTCCCCAATGTCCCATTATTCCTAATTTATTTAAAGCAGAAAATTTTTTATATGATAAACTATGTAAATTTTTTGTTGTTTATACTTTTTTTGAAATAAAAAAATATATGCTCTAAGATTGACTTTCAGCATGCCTTTAATTATTTTTATAAACTACAAATTTTTCTTTTCTTTTGATAATTGTTATATCGCTGGGCTTTGCTTTAAAAGCCAGACATCATAATGTATGTGAATGTATAATCAAGTATTTTGGAAATGANTTATTTTTATAAACTACAAATTTTTCTTTTCTTTTGATAATTAAGGATAATTACTTTTTAAAATATGCACATAAATAGTATAAGAGGGTAATTCATAAATTGTTGAGGATAAAATTCAGTTATTACATAATATTATACATTTTTACGGCGTTAAGTGAGTGCTCTTTTCAGTGAGGAAGTGCTCTCTACTTTTTCATTCCTAGTGAGTATTCGTCATGATATATTGTAGAAAGTTGTACAGTGAATATCTTGTTTAAATCTGACAGTTTAATAGGGAAAGACCTTCAAAATGTAACTACCCTACTTTACACTACTTACTGGTTTTAATTTTAAAAATCACCATCAATTCCACAATCATTTCAAAGCTCAACCACATTGGGTCGAACTGGTAGAGTAAGGTTTATATTAACCTGTTACCAGTGTTTCAATTTATTTTTGCATGTTGATATGTCAAATAAATGTTGTTTTTATTATTTTTATCAAAACTGTCTCTTCAGTATAGCTTGATTCGTTACACTTCCTTTGCTAATAACTTTATTTGATAAACCATTTTAATTTTTTTTAACTGTAACTGTTCATACAATATGGAATTAAATAAGACTAGTGTACTGGTAAATATAATATTAAATTTAGTTTTAATAGTTATATTAAAATATTTTTTAATAAATTTAATTATGCAATAAATTGTATGAAACTGCATATTTTTCAATTTTTTTTCCAGGTCTGCTATTTAAATTGGATACATTGAACTGAGTTTCAATTCATTTGAAGATATCCTAGGATAATAGCTATGAAAAGGTTATCTAACATCTTAGTATTTGTTTCTACTGCCTCAGTGAATAGTTGAAGAAAGAAATTTTCATTACTTAATAGGTATGTTTTCATAATATTCATTCATTAATATCATTGTGTAAATTTGTATTGATAATAATTTAAAAATATCTGTTGCCTTAACTTTGAGCCTTTTTATATCCCTTAGTAATTCTATCCCTCAAATATTGAAAAAAATTTATTATTGCTTATTAAAATTTTATTTTGACTAGACATAATACAGTTTCCCCCTTTACTATTTCAGTTCATGTGAAAATATAGTAAGATAATTTAGGTACACACAATTAATATAGAGTGGCAGTATGAGTACTTCACCTCTATAAGCAGCCACTTACTTGAGCTTAATGCTGATGAAAAACATTATTCTTGTAACTTGTGTAATGAAAGTTTTTCAGGGAGTGCAATGTTGTTGAAGAAGGAATTTGGCTAAACGCTTCCTCCAGTTTCCCTTCACAATACGTTTTAGGGCTTTTTCCACGATCTGAACTGTTCTTTCAGCCTGACCATTTCCGAACGGACGCCTTGGTGCAATCATAACCCCTCTGACGAGATTCCTCTCTAAGAAAGTCTGGAACTCCAATGCTCGAAACTGATATCCGATGCCTTAGCTTCCTCCCCATCAACAGTTTTGCAAGACTAGCACTTATTGTGGTGGTGGGAGTGCAATGTTGTTGAAGAAGGAATTTGGCTAAACGCTTCCTCCAATTTCCCTTCACAATACGTCTTACGGCAGTTTTCACGGTCTGAACTGTTCTTTCAGCCTGACCATTTCCGGACGGACGTCTTGGAGCGATCATAACCCTTCTGACGAGATTCCTCTCTAAGAAAGTCTGATACTCCAATGCTCGAAACTGTCCTCCGTTATCGGAAACTGTGACTTCAGGTATCCCATGGGTAGCAAAGATTTCTCGCAGGACGTCGACTGTTGCAGAAGCAGACGTAGAAGTCATATGACGCACTTCTATCCATTTTGACATGGCATCTACTAAGATTAGGAATTCTTGTTCCTGGAACGAACCTGCAAAATCTATATGAAGACGGGACCAGGGTTTCTCTGGAATCTCCCAGGGATGCACTGGAGCTTTAGAAGTGGCATCCTTGAACATGCACTTCTATGTCATAGTCCATGCCTGGCCACCACGCGTATAAACGTGCGAGAGCTTTCATTCTCTCAATTCCTGAATGTCCGAGATGTAGAGCCTGGAGAACACGTGATTTTCCCAACACTGGGATAACTACTCTATTACCCCATAATAAGCAATTTCGATGAGTTGAAAGTTCGTTACGTTTCGAGAAAAAAGTCTGACATTTTTTATCCGGTTTTTCATTTGGCCATCCTCTAAAAGCCCAATTTAGTACTCTTGACAAAATTGGATCACGCAAAGTTAATTTTGCAATCTCTGCTGCCTGAAGCGGAGGATCTTGTAAATTCTCGGTAAACAATACCTCTAAAGGACCGGGAACCTCAAATTTATCCGTATCTTTTAGAAGTCTACTTAAAGAATCTGCATTTTGAATTTTTTTCCCTGGTCCATGAATTGGAGTATAATCATATGCATTAAGTATTAAAGACCATCTCAGCATACGCGGGGAGATATGCAGAGGCTGATAATCAGTTATAATAGTGAATTTATGTCAATAAACAAAATGGTGAAATTTTTTTATACCGAAAACAATTGCCAACGCTTCTTTGTCGATTTGCGCATAGTTTCTTTCTGTCGACGTGAGCGTACGAGGTGCGAAAGCTATTGGTGCTTCACAACCATTATGACGAACATGACTTAAAACAGCTCCTACGCCAAACGGAGATGCATCGCAAACTAAAGTTATCTGCAATTTTTCATCGAACGGAACCAAAACCACTTCGGAACTTGACAATTCTTTTAAATATCGAAAAGCTTCATCGTGGACTTCAGACCATTTCCACACTGAATCCCTATCTAGAAGCCTATGTAATACTTCAGCTTTAGTAGCTTTGCCCTTCAGAAAACTATTATAAAAGTTTATCAAACCCAAAAAACGCCTTTAACTGGACTTTATTTTTAGGTACGGAAGAAGCATGAATCGCTTCTACTTTACTTTTAGAGGGGTGGATGCCCTTCGCATCGATACGGTAGCCCAAAAAATCTTTTTCCGTTACCCCAAATAAGCATTTGTTTCCATTTGCTTTAAGTCCCGCTTTTCTTAACCGAGCGGCTAACTCTTCTTCCAAACTTCCTCTGACAAGTACATCATCAAAATAAGGAACAACGCCTTCTAATTTTTGAAACAAATCTTCGATTAAATTTTGAAATATTCCTGGGACTACGTTAATTCCGAATTGAAGTCTTTTTATCTTATACGCACCCTTATGCGTGATGATAGCCTGAGCTTCAGCAGAAGCATCATCAACCGGTAATTGTAAATATGCCTGAGCCAAATCTATCTTAGCATAATAACCTCCTCCCTTAAGATTCGACAGAAGATGATTTACCGCGGGAATTGGATAAGGATGTGCGCTCATTGTTTGTTTAACGTGATTTTATAATCACTGCATAAACGTACTTCACCTGACGGTTTAATCACTGGAACAGCCGGTGTTGACCATTTTGGGTTTGAAATTTCTTCAATAACTGCTTCACTTTGAAGTTTTGCTAGAGCAGCTTCAATTTTAGACCTCATTGCCAAAGGCATGCTTCTTGCTTTACATCTAACAGGCGCCATATCCGAATTTATAGGAAGCGATACTGGATTACCCGTATACGAACCCAATTTATTATCAAAAATATCATCATATTTTTTAAGAACTTTTTCAATAATACCCGTTCTAATTTCGTTTACTTCTGTTATTGAAATTCCTAATGGTTCAAACCAAGAATACCCCAAAATATTCGTACAATGATTACTTGAAGTTAACAATTCTAACTTAGATTTGAAAAGGCTATGCACAACTTCAACTTTACATACACCAGCTAGTGAAATCCCATTTTCAGAAAAGTTGCTCAGTTTAATTAAAGTTTTTTCTTAGAACGGAAAACTTTATTCAACGGTTGCTAAGAAATAATCGAATAATAGGAACCCGAATCAATTTCCATTTCTAATTTTTCCTTATCAACCTCAACGATAACGTTTTTCTTAAACTTAAAACATTTAAATATTCGGGTTGAACCTCAATTTCATTTGCACGCTGTTTTTCAAACCTATTTTTTTTTCAACAAACTTTTACAACGTGACCCTTAAGACCACACGAATGGTTCATGTTTACCACAGCAACCGAAACATACTTTTGAATTTGCAATTTGCTATTATTACCTGAAACATTAGAATTTTGTTTACTAAATCGCGCATTATTTCTTTTGTTCCTACCACGTACAAAATCAACTACATCCGAATTCTCAGAATAAGAAGAATTTTGGGTATGAATATGCTTTGATTGGGAAGCCGCAACCTCAGATGCTATGGCAACAAAAATTGCATTTTCAAGAGTTAATTTGGATTCAGTCAACAATCTTCTTTGAACCTCTTCATCACGAATACCGCAGACTAATTGATCTCGTAATCGTTCTGACAAAGTTTCCCCAAAATTACAATCTTCGGCCAGCTTTCTTAATTCGGTAACGTAAGCATTCACTAACTTTGATTGAAATCTTTTATTAAACTTGTAACGTTGAAATATGTTTGAAGATTTAGGACAAAAATGTTCTTTTAAAAATCGAATTAAATCTTGAAATTTAAATTCTGTAACTTCCTTTGGCGAAACTAAAGTTCGAATTATTGACAATGTTTTAATTCCACAAACAGCTAAAAGAGTCACACGCTTCTACGATAGAATTAGCCTCCTAAAAGTAAGTAATTTGATCAGCATGTAATTCGAATGAATTTGGATTTGAAGTATCAAATTCCTGAATAAGAGCCTACGTCGCCATCTTAGTGCGGAAATTTAGCTTAAGCCAGACGAAATATCGAAAATAGAAAAGCGCATTTAAGCATTTAAAACACCTACCAGAAGCATTAAATAATACCAGTATTGGATCACATCAACAACTCATGACCAGCTGTCTTCAAGAAATTGCGTTTTCACAGAAATCCAATTGAAGCTGAACTTCTTCATGCCATGCAGTAAGATTCCATTTTTAGTAGAGTAAGATCAGTGGTATAAATCCCATTAGTCGTCACCACGTGTTGAATTGTGAAGTATCCTTGGTGTTGTATTCCAAGTAAGACACATAATATGTTAAAATATATATGTAATATAACAACAAAACATAAGTAACATGCTAGCAGCCCGTAACAAAGATTAGCGATGAACATCTATTAGTAACGTGTTTATATACTCTCTGGAAAGGTAAGGCAGCGCCGCTGCTCAGAAACTACAGGCTGTCGTCATTGACTCGTAGTGATGACGGAAAGTGACGTTGGCTGACATCACAACAGTAACCATACACACATTGTGGAATAACATGAGACTGTTGTATCTGTTGATATAATATGAAATTTAATTTCTAATGGTTATAAAAATATGTTTTTTGCATGAACTAAATTTTGCAATAAGTTGTATGAAACTGCATATTTTAAATTTTTTTCCCTCAGGTTCTGCTATTTAAAATTGGATACTTTGATCTACATTTCGTGAGTCTTGAAGATAACCTTGAATAATAACTCCGAAAATAGTATCTAACATCTTAAAACTTGTTTCTACTGCCACAAAGAATAGTTGAAGAAAGAAATTTTCATTACTTAATAGGACTAGTACGTTTCCTTAATACTCATTCATTAATAATATTGCATGATTTTGTAATGAAAATAAGTTAGACATGCCTGTTGTCTTAGCTTTGGGCTTTTTGTATCCATCAGTTAATTCTATCACTCAAATGTTATTGTAAAATTTTTATTGTAGCTTTTTAAAAATCTATTTTGACTAGGCATAGTAGAGTCTACCCGTATAAAATTTTACTATTTCAGTTCATGTGAAAATGTAATACGATAATTTAGTTAAGTTTATACAGAGTGTCGGTATGAGTGCCTCTAATAGCAGCCACTTACTCAATCTTACTGTTCCGACTGATGAAAAACATTCTTGTAGTATGTATAATAAAAGTTTCTCAAAAAAGGATAATTTAAGTAAGCACTTACCTGTTCATACTGTAGAAAAACCTTATTCTTGTAACTTGTGTAATAAGACCTTTCCACAGAGGAGTCTCCTGACTCGGCACAGTTATGTTCATACTGGTGAAAAACCTTTTTCTTGCAGTATATGTAATAAGAGCTTTTCGCAAAAAGCTCAATTAAGTAGACACTTTGCTATTCATACTGGAGAAAAACCTTTTTCTTGTGGCATATGTAATAAGAGTTTTGCAGAGATGCGTGACCTGACTGTTCACAGCCGTGTTCATACTGGTGAAAAACTTTTTTCTTGTAGTTTGTGTAATAAGAGTTTTTCAGGGAAGGGAACACTAAGGAGACACTATCTCACTCATACTGGTGAGAAACCTTATTCTTGTAGCGTATGTAATAAGAGTTTTTCATATAAGTGTGATCTAACTAAACACAGTCATACTCATACTGGTGAGAAACCTTTTTCTTGTAGTATATGTAATAAGAGCTTTTCACTGAGTCGCTATCTGACTGAGCACAGTCATGTTCATACGGGTAAAAAACCTTTCTCGTGCAGTATTTGTAATAAGAGCTTTACACGGAGTAACTATCTCACAAAGCACCATTGTGCTAATACTGGTTAGACTATCTCTTCTTCCAGTATATGTAGCAAGATTTTTACGGTTGTAACCTGATTGTGCACAGTCTTGTTCATAATTGCATAGCTGTCAACTCTACTGGATTTTGCCAGTTTCTCCTGGTCGACTGTTTTAATAAAAATTCTCCTGGTTTTTGTACATTTTAGAAAATTCTCTAAAGTTGAGTAAGTTTCCTTGAAAAAATCCCTATTGAGATAGAATTTTTGCGCAAATTATTGCTTACTTGAATATTTAAATGCGTTTCGCTAATGCATAATAAGGTGAGCCTCTTTTATAAAATTCAGTTGACTTTCTTTGATGAATTAAATGCCTATTACTATTCAATATTATGAATAAACATTATACATAGCATTTCAAGCTCATTTAATGTGAAATTATAACTCAAAAATGTTGCAGTTTTTCTATTTTGATGACTGAAAATCTCTAAAATTACCTATGTGTAAAATAGCTATATATTTTTCAACAATTATCATGAAATTCATATTATTTCGTAAAATCTGCTGGATATTTTCCTATTAGCGTTGCCAGCTATGTAATTGAAAAACCTTGTTCCTTTCATTTGTTTTTATGCTCTGTTTTTTTTTCTATGTTTCTTTGTTATTCTCTCTCGGCTGCTAAGGTTTTGTTTCTCATCTTTATTTTCCTTTTTTCGTTGAAAAGGGGCATCTACTTTTGAGTGCTTGAAACATGTCTATAAGACATGTATTATTAGGAATTGCAAAAATGTACAAAGTTGCTCTTACAAAAATTTTAAACATTAAATCCCAATGCAATTGAAAGTTTCATTATATAATATTTTTATAACCACAATTCAATGAAATGATAATTTACTTATAAAAATGTTTTTTAAATGTGTACTATTTTCCCTATAGTCCATTCCACCTTAAGTTGGCACTGGAGAGAAAGGTAGGTAGACCGGATTACATGGAAACTGGGTTACTCTTTAAGTCAGTACGGGGATGAGGTAGCAACAAAGGGAGAGAAAGTGGCCAGTATTGGCGTTTAAGAAAGCAAAACGCCGATTTTTTTTTTTAAAACCAAGAATCGTACTAAAATTTTGTACAGAATACGGAAAAGAGCACGATTTTTTAGAGCATTTCTCATAATTATTATTTTAAGATACTAGTTGTAAGCTGATTTCTTAATTAGTATTTAAAAAGCAGATTTTCTTATTATGATTTTTTAACTGAACGAAACTAATTTTAAACAACAGAAATATAAATGTATATATTTTTTGCTGAAATCTATTTTATATGCTTATATTTTGAAGATTAATGTACATTAATTTACCCCACATTGGTGTTTTGATGGGGAAGGAAAAATCAGCAGTACAGGAAATTATTGATCAGGAAAAAGATCATACTTATGTTTTATAATATTTACTGTTCTTTTTTTCTTATTATTATGATTTTTTAATTAAACAAAACTAATTTTAAGAAAAAAATATATATTTACAAAAATTATTTTTTGCTGAAATCGAAGTAAAAAAAAGGAAATGCATATATGAGCATAAATACGTGTTTTATGTTCATCTCTTAGACTCAACAGGATCCTGGTGCTTATCATGTTATTCATCTAATATTTTAACAGTTGACAGTTCCTTTTGCAAACTCTTTGTGGAGTCGCCGTGAATTGAATTCAATCCACAATTTCTCATCAGGAGAAATTCCACTTGGGTGGTTAGGCGCATTTCTTCAAAAGAAAATACATATTTTAAAATATTAGAACCTTCCTTTACTTTTCAGGATCTTTGCGGGTGAAAGGAGGTTTAAGAGAAAAATCCGTATAATTAGTTATTTAAGTATAGTAGAATTAGTTAGTCTCAAAATATTTTGTCAGATACTGAAATATCTTAGTATTTTCTACATAAGAGAAAGAATTTCTCCGCTTTTTTGGCTTTGTATTTCAAAAATTATAATTAAAATATTGATTGGTTTAAATTAACCCTTCGATATTTAAAAGAAATTAATGATTCAAATTTTGTGTCTTTTTTGAAATTATTTCAATTCTTATACATTTTATTAGTTTATAACTAACGGATTTGCACACTTATATTATGGAATTTGTATTTCAGATAATATTTAAAAGTCCCTTTAATTAAACAAACTAAGAATCTTAAATTTCCGCCATCACATTATTAAAGTTCCTATAAAAAGCGAATTGTACTTCAGAGCTACACATGGCGCAAAAGACACAAAATTTGAATCTTTATACAGAGATTGAATAAAGCGAAAAAAAATTTTTTCTTTTGTCTTAAAAAAATAATAATTAAATCACATGTTGAATTAGCTACACAGCAAATATGCTCAATTGTCATCAGTTTAATAATATTCACCTGTGTATTTGTTTTTTTGTTTTTTTTCATTCATTCTGAAGGAGAAAAATTTTTCATTAAATATTGTACACATGATGTTAATATTTAGAAAATTAAATAATCAAATACAAAAAGAAAGTGAAATAAGAACTGCACAAGAGATAGGACACTTAAGCAAAGGCAAGGAGAATGGAAAGAGCTGGCTGACCAGTGTAAAAACATAGCTAACGCGCCAATTCCTTGGCTTTGAAAACTAATCCAGCGCCAAATTAAAACACCTCCTTCTTCTTTGTACATTCGCTTCACTAAGAAGGTATACGTAAGTTAAATACATTTAAGCATGAAAAACTTCTAATGCATATTTCAATATAAACTTTTTTTACTATACAACATTTATTTATATTTGTACGCGCATTTAAACTGTAATTAATTCCAAAATAAAGAACTACTTTTCAAATGTGGAGTATTACATTTCCTACCCTTCCCTGCAGTGCCAACTTAAGGTGGAATGGACTATAGCCTGTGAGTCTGGTTACATATAGTTTCAAACAATATTTTAAAATATAGCTCCTTGCACCTATTAATTGCTGAAATTCTCTTTCTAGAATTCTTATTCTGTATTTTTTTTTGTTAATTGAGATACTAGAGCTTTTTATAGAATCTCTCTTTCCCTTTATATGAAACACAATTTCACCTATTAATTGCTTAAATACTCTTTCCAGAATTATTGTTCTGATGTAGTTTTTTGTTATTGAGATACTAGAACTTATTATAGAAGCTCTCTTTCCCTTTATGTGAAACAATTTCACCTATTAATTGCTTAAATACTCTTTCCGGAATTCTTGTTCTGATGTAGTTTTTGTTATTGAGATACTAGAACTTATTATAGAAGCTCTCTTTCCCTATACATAACATGAGACACAATTTCACCTATTAATTGCTGAAATACTCTTTCTTGAATTCTTGTTCTGTTAAACTTTTTGTTATTGAGATGCTAGAGCTTATTCTAGAAGCTCTCTTTATCTTTACATAACATAAGACACAATTTTACAGTTGAAAAAGCAACGTAAAGGGCCATTGCATGAGTATATTTTTCTGGTTAAAAATTAGTTTGAAAATTAATGCCTTTCATATAAAAAAATACAATTTTTTTCATCACATAAAAATTTAGTAGATTTTCATATTTTAAAAACAGAATAGGCAAATCCCATGTTGGTAATTTAATCATATTAGTACTGTCATTAAAAATATTTGTAGAGTCCAACCTAACTTAAAAATATAGTTTCCATAGGTGTCAACTAATAACTAAAGCAAATAGCTCATAACAATAACAAGTTTTTATTGTAAGCAAAAATAACAATAACAAAATCAGTTAATTAAATGATTCTAAATGAATCATGGTGTTCTAAAATATGGTTACAATTAACCATAAAACAATAGTTATCAAATCATAGTTAAATTACGAAAAACAATAAACTCAATTAAGTTTTAAAAAATACAATTAAACCTTGAAAAAACCAAAAACTCCACAAAAAAAAAATGCAAGAGATCTATCAGATTGCATTTTTTCCTAAGGGGAGAAACAACTTACAACCTTGTTTCAGTAAATATAATGTAGTAAAAACAAAAAAGTACTCATCTGTTGTAGACTATTACTAATATCTGTAATATCATTTTAATTTTTCAAAACTATATTTCTTAAGTTTATTGCACTGTAAAATTAGTTTTTACTTGACCTTGTGAATCTAATATAAATATAGTTTTTATGATTAAATACTTTAGGTAGTGCTATTTTTAAGGATTATTAATGAAATGCTTGTTTATCATGACTTTCTGAAAATTTGTTTTGTTTACATTTATTTGATCACTTAAATATTAAAACTAGGGGGCTGAGCCCCCTGTTCGCTGCCGCTCACCAACCCCGATTATTGCTTCGCAATAATTGTCTTTTCTTGGCAGAAAACAATTTTTCTACTAAAGTTAAAACTATTCACTTAACATATATGTACTAAAAGGAATTCTGTTTACTTACTCTTGTGCCTCTACTTCCCACGTCTAAATATTACTCTCAAATATTACTTCACCCAAATATTAGATCTCTTGGTGAACGGAAGTGATTTTTCGAAGTAATCATTTTTTAAAATAACATTTATATTCTTATAGCATTGTATTGTTCAAACAAATTTGATGAGTTCACNTACAGGAAAATAACTTTAAGTTAGGGATTCAAAAATATTTAAAGAAAAGCATGACTTTTATTAATTTTATGCTGACTACAACCAAAACAATAAGGAGACGAATGAGGAAAAACTGGATCACACCACGTGATTTTCTGGCCAATAAAAATGCACCGACAACAATGGAAAACTGCGACACCATCATTAGAATTTTATATATAGTAAGATTATGATATTACTAGAGCTGCTGAAAAAGCCTGGATATAATATGAAAATTCAATAATTAAAAAGTTGTATAAAAATAGCTATAAGCAAAAGCATGTTTATTTTATATTTTTTTTCCATGGTTTTTAAATTTGTGAAATTCGTAAATTTTTTTTTTTTTTTTTTGATAAATAAATACTTTAAGTTGCTACTTTATTGATGCTTAATATTTTGCTATTCATATTCATTCACATATAAAAATATAGGTGCTCGTGTGAATTTTCTTCTTTTTTGTGTCTCTGCTTTTTTTTTATCCCTCTGTTTCGTTCATTAATTTCACTGCCCCAAACAATTAAATGACGCTGGATTTTTACATATCTCGTTATCCCAAAATTAACTTATATACCTATATAGCTATAATAGAAATATTTGCTTCAAACTTTTTCTACATCAAATAAATAATCTGTTTATCATGTGTAATTTTTTATTTGTGCAGTTCACCTTGTTCTCTTTTTTTTAATTTTAATATTTGGTTTAATTACTTATTATATTTAGTCTATAAATGATAAAAACTTCTACAGCGATTAGATGAAAATTTTCATTTGCACCAAAGACTTCCATTTCTCATAACTCTATTTGATAATCCATTTTAGACTATTTTAACTGTAACCATACACACAGTGTGAAATTCCATGAGACTTGTATCTGTTGATATAATGTGAAATTTGATTTCTAATGGTTATTAAAAAAAATTTTTTTTTTACTTAAACTAAATTTTGCAATAAGTTGTGTGAAACTGCATATTTTTCAATCTTTTTCCTCGGATCTGCTATTTAAAATTGGATACTTTGATCTACATTTCGTGAGTCTTGAAGATAACCTTGAATAATAGCTCCGAAAATAGTATCTAACATCTTAAAACTTGTTTCTACTGCCACAAAGAATAGTTGAAGAAAGAAATTTTCATTACTTAGTAGGACTAGTATGTTTCCTTAATATTCATTCATTAATAACATTGCATAATTTTGTTATGAAAATTACTTAGACATGTCGGTTGCCTTAGCTTTGAGCCTTTTGTATCCATCAGTTAGTTCTATCACTCAAATATTATGGTTAAATTTTTATTGTAGCTTTTTAAAAATCTATTTTGACTAGGCATAATAGAGTCTTAGTTACACACAGTTAAAGAGAGTGTCGGTATGAGTGCCTCTATTATCAGCCGCTTACTCAAGCTTAATGTTCCGACTGATGAAAAACATTATTCTTGTAGTAGTATGCATAACAAGAGTTTCATAAAAAAGGATAACTTAAGTAAGCACTTACTTGTTCATACTGGCAAGAAACCTTATTCTTGTGGTATATGTAATAAGAGTTTCTCACAAAAGATAGTTTAAGTTCTCACTTACCTGTTCATACTGGAGAGACACCTTTTTCTTGTAGCATTTGTAATAAACGTTTTACGAAGAAGTGTAGCCTGACTGTTCACAGCAGTGTTCATACTGGTGAGAAACCTTTTTCTTGTAGTTTGTGACATAAGAGTTTTTCACGGAAGGGACTACTTACTTGACTCATACAGGTGAGAAACCTTATTCATGTAACATGTGCAGTAAGACTTTTGTTCAGAGAACTCATCTGACTTGGCACAGTCGGGTTTATTCTGGTGAGAAACCTTATTCTTGTAGAATTTTTGGTTTTTAATAAGAGTTTTTCAATGAAGGGAAAACTAAGTAAAAATTGTCTCACTCATATTTGTGAAAAACTTTGTTCTTGTTATGTGTGTAATAAGATTTTTGCACAGAGGAGTCACCTGACTCAGCACAGTCATGTTCATACTGGTGAAAAAGCTTTTTCCTGTAGTATATGCAATAGTAACTTTTCACGCAATTGGTATCTAAGTGTACACAGACGTGTTCATACTGGTGAAAAACCTTTCTCCTGTAATATATGTAATAAGAGCTTTTCTCGGAGTAGCTATCTAACTGAGCACAGTCGTGTTCATACTTGTTAGACCACCTTTTCTTATAGTATATGTAATGAAAGTTTTACACAGAGGTGTTCATACTGGAGAGAAACAGATCCTGATTCTGAATAAAAGTAGTTTTTGAAAAATAACACATTTATTCACAGTGAAAATATTATGTTTATAAAAAAATTAAGTAGTTTTTTTTTAAAAATTAAAATACATTTAAAGATAGTAAAAATGCAATTTAAAAAGGAAAAAGAAAATTTAGATGATTTTGATCGCAGGAGTCGCATATATCTACTGGAAGCAAAACCCTTCGGCCCTGCCACAAACACGACATTTCATTCAGAAGTAGTTCAACACAATCAACATTCAATCCTGAGATTGTGAGAAAAAAATCTCAGGAAATTGGAGGATATCAAGACGGCGATGAGGGGCTAGCTGCCTACTTGAGAATCGGCGGAAATCGTTGCGAGGGTCCGACGCATAGGGCTGTCTGGTTCAAATTCCTCATAAATTTACCAAATACCACAGACGAATTTAAATTGAAACTCAAACAAATGCACGAACACCACTTAACCCCATCCCTACATCTTCAAGCTGGATGCTTTTGTATAATTTTTTTTTTTTAAATCTTTATTTATGGTAGTGGTTTTTTTTTTAAAATCATTTTGTATATTTTACTTTCTTTTGAATTACTTGTGTTTAGATTGTTTTGAAAGCATTTTGTCTTTGAATTATTGTATTTATTGATTGTCTTTGATTTTGTAATTATTTTGTATAAATTCTGTTTTTCATGATTAAAAGTGTGGGAGCTCTGGAAAAAACCACCCTTTTTAGCTGCTCGTTTGCTATGTTTTTTAAAATTTGATACCAATCTTCATCATCAAATTCCAATCTATGTAAAAAAAACGGTTTTGGTGTCCATTCTTTGTATCTGGCAAGTGAAAATACATGCTAATATTGGAGATTGAATAAGATCCGGTTTTTTTCAAGATGCGAGTAATGCACGCCTAAGTACACATTTCCGAAATTTCTTTGAAGGTTGAGTATCAAAAACACTATCTCTATACTTCATATATGTGTAACATTTCATACAAGACAACGTAAAATAAAAAATAAAAATCAGTAAGCACATTAAAGAATAAATGGATTTATTTACAATTCTTTCACAAATTCTGCTTAAATTTTATCATACTCAGACCAGTGACTTGAACACTATACAACACTTCAAGACTTTTATATTTTGTATCTAAAAGAGAGAGAAAAAAGCATCGAAATTGTAACAAACGTTGTAATTTATTATGATTATGATTACGTCAACATCGCCGAGTTTCTGGTGGGGGCATGGATTTAGAAAAGCTTACTAGCCCCAGGGGAGTCACGTTTTTCGGCCATTCCCAGACGCGACTTTCCACATTGTCGACTCCCGGGCACCTCTTTGGCACCGTATTTTGAAATTCGCCAAGATTTCTCGCGAAAATCTTCGAACACTATTTCTCACATGTTTCACTTGGAACATACGATTTAAAAAACACATGAGTGAACATGAGGTGTGAATAAATTTTGCTGCTTCATAAGTTTTTGCGTATTATCAGCCTCTTTATAATCAGACTATCTGAAACACATTTTTATTTCTTAATTTTTTGGTTCATTTTTTAGTTTTAAACTTGTTTTATAATTCTTGTTTCGTTTCTGAAAAGATTTAG